CCCCAAAACCCCAAAACCCCAAAACCCCAAAACCCCAAAACCCCAAGTTGGTTTCTTAATATTGAAAAACAATAACGGTAAGGTCTCTGTAATAAAGTCATATAGATCCCAGATTTAACAATGTTTAAAGAATGGAGGTTTTGGTTAAAACTTTAATCAGACTCTTAGCCAAATACTTCAATATTTCCTAACCCGTTTCGATCAAGGATTCTTCTCGCTTCAAGTGTTTCAATATCGCATAAAGTAAGTTCTATTTTCATGAGAGTTTTCTTCAAATCTGAAGAAGTAGCAATGCTTTCTACCAGATTACTAAATAGACTTTGAAATCCATTGAGGTTTGGTTCTAATTCATTGTACGTGAATTCTATTGAACCAGTTAAGCCGATAATCTTGACATTTGTGCTTTCCAACAATTCTGCAAAGTTAAGAATAACAGGCATTGAAAGGTCGCAAAATTCAAACTTTACTTCTTCAACATGCTTGTAAGATACCATAACTCTCTTTATCTGGGGATGGCTGAGTTTAAAATTATTAATTGAAATTAGCTTCAACACTTTAGAGCTAATTCTAGTTATTCCTTCCATATAAGGAGAGATATTAAGAGTTACTAGATAGGATGAGCGGATTTCACATTTGGCAACACATTTTGGGAGTGAAGAGAAGCAGGACTTAACGCAATGTTTATTCTTGCTTTTGATATCCATCAAATCGAATAAACTCATTTTGATTTCTCTCAAGAAGTTCATTTTCTTCATAAAATGTGGGCCTATTTGTTCATAAACATTCATTTCAAAATAGAGATAGCTATTCTCTCAGTCTTGGGCATCATTAGTTTCTATGATTTTCAATATTTCTAAGAAATGGTTGAAACAAAGAGAGGTCATAAGTTCTTCTTCTGTGTTTATTTGTTCTTTCAGAATCGACTTCTCTTGACTATAATAGCTGCATGAGGTCAGAAGTTTTATAAACTAGAGAAAACTAACTTTATTATTTAGCAATAAGATACATTTTTATTTGAAGAACTGTTAGGAGTAAACTTCGATTAGTTAACAACTCCTCTATGAATAAAGTTTCCCTCAATTTATTAAGCATTGAGTGAAAAAAACTAATCCTGATATTTCCATTTAGAACATCTGAAGTAGTGACAAGAAATAATCTGGATTATCCAGCTTTGGAACTATTGATATAAATTAAAGCTATATTATCTATGAAAAGTCTTAATAGGTACAATATAACTCTTTTAAATGCTGTACTACTAAATTAAATCATTATCTAATATACTAGTTTTAGACAAAGCATTGGGACCTCCTATTCTAAAATATCTTTTGCAAGAAATATCCAATTTAAACTCAGAGAACATTCTAACTTAAAAATCAAGAAAACAGACCAAAGGGAATATCGAATCACTTAATTTGGCTAAAACCTCAGCCTTGACTTACTCCACTATGTGGGAATTCTCTTGTGCACTCATTTGTGAAGAGCTCTCCATTTTATTATTATAAATTATTCCACTCTGGATGATGCATTTGGGGTTTTGGGGTTTTGGGGTTTTGGGG